AACAGTTTCTGATAAATGAGTTTCCAAAATAGCAGAACTGGCTGTTTGGCATAGGCAGCCCACTGTCCCAGGGAAAATCAGCCAGACCTTGCTCCCAAGGGCTCAAGGAGAGGTGAGACAGCACAGGCAGTTGTGGGTGGCCTTATAATGTGGAAGCCTCAGGAGTATTTAGCTGTTTAGGAACTAATGCTAAGAAATGCAAGATCCTCCAGGTGTGGTGGAAACAGCTGCATGTTCAGGGAACAGTAAACCACCCCCAGGTAGCGGAGATACAAGCTTTTGTACCCTTGTTGCCGGCCTGGGCCACTGGATAGTGAGGAACCAGGGAGCTTTCAGCCCAGATGCCCACCTTGATCCCAGGCCTTGGTGGCACATGGAAGGGGCCCCATTCCCAGCTTCCTTGCTAAGGGCCAAATCATCCCTGCTCTGCAAACACAATAGCCAGTTGCCAGTGTTGCCTAGGGGAAGGTTGCCAGGAGAAAGCATAATACATTCTCCATGGAAACCTGCACTTTAACAGTTTGCTTTTGTACATGTTGGGGACTGCTGAGGATCCTGTTTCAGGAAGGTGTCATTAAAGATGCCAGAGCAAGGCCATCAGCAGTATCCATGAGGGCATGAGGGTATACCTGCCAGATGGCTGCTGCCTTTTACTACCAGAGTGTTTTTAGGGTTTCTGCCAAAACCTCGTGTTTCTCCTCAGCCAGTCAGGGGTAACTGTGGCACACGATCTCCCAGGTGGTCACTCCTTTGCTCTGTGCCAGCAAAATCAGCTATTCCCTTCGCAAATGCTACCCTTCTGCTCCTGCCTGCACTTTGCATGGTGTTTCATTTTCTCCTCTGCTGTGCCAGTCTGTGGAGGCTCCCATGCTGTAAAACCACAGTATCGCTACAGAAGTGTATCTCTGGGACAAAAGATCAGCTGCCAAGGAGAGTGACAAAGACAATACAGCTCTTTTTGTTAATCTAGAGATGCTGCACAGTAGCTTTCAGTAATTAGAAATCTTCAATGGGAGTTTACTACACCCGGCCCACTGAATTGTAGTC